TGAAGAGGTTTAAATCAGCTTAGTTCAAATGCCAATTAAAAGTGAAGTGGATTAGCTTCCATGATCCACAGAATAGAGCAGCATTGTGTGCCTGGGACTGAGTGAAAACTTCTTTCCCTCTTCCACAAATTGGCTCAACTCAAGCTTCTCTGTCAGCGCCTCCCCTCCCTTCTCTTTCCATCCCAGGTGATGCTTAAACTCTTGAGTCGGGCCCTGAACTCCTCAGAGGGACGGCAATGCCGGAGCCTTTTCTCTGAATCTTCATATTTCTCCTTGATTTTGGCAAAGTTGATCCAAGAATTGCGAACCTTTGATCTGAACATAGAAGACTAAAAGCATGGGGTGGTGTGTGCGTACATTTTCTCTTGATTCCTGACATTTTTTTCCAAATAATGAAAGAAACGTCCCATGTGGAAAAGCCATGATGTGTCCTTTCCAACATCACCGATGATGATGATTCCGTTGCCAGAGCCTTAGTGGTCTTCTCCTCCACCCCAAGCTCAGGGCAGGGGCTCTCCTTCCCTCGTTTTCCTTGGGGAGCCCCTTCTGACCGCAGAGGCAGCCCATCCCGCTGCTCTCCTGGCCAGAAGATCCCTCCTTGCTTTGAGTGCAGATCCAGCCGGTGGTTCTGGCCCCACCCTTGGGCAGTGGAGGAAATGAGTCCGTGCTCCATTCCGGTGAGAGAGCTTGGAGAAAGACCTCGATTGCCTCCCCCCTTCCCTTCTCTCCTCGAGGCCAAGTCCTCTGACCTTTTTCGGTCAGTTTTGCCCCCACGGCCCCTCTGCAGTGGCCTCGCCTTCCCAAAAAGCCTCTCGTACCTGTGGCAGCTGCCAGCTACACCTGCGGCCCAGGGACCCAGGTGAAGAAATTTCACTCTCCTCTCTTTGGAATTCAGTTGCTGGTTTTACCCAGAAGGTGAAGTCTTGGGTGGCTGGAGAGCTTTTTCCCCTGAGCCGCTTTGGCAGGAGAATTAGAAAGCTGCCTTAAGGTTGGCCTCCATGCCCAAAGGGCAGCAGGGAGTCTTTTACCAGAAATATCTTTTTGGGCAAAACAAGATGGGTTTGCATGGCAGAGCTGGCACTTCAGCCACAGAGCTAGGGAGGGGCCAGTTTTCACCACCCGCCATGGCAAAGTGGGTGAGAGCTGGGCGGTTCTCCTCTCTTCCGCTGGCCTGCCCCTCTCTTCCCAGGCTCCTGCTGCAAGGTTGCCAGGGCACCTGCTCGGCATCTTTGGGCAACGCAGGGAGGTGGGGAGCCCTCGGTTTGGCCCATCTGGAGCTCCAGCCCCATAGCACCTCACCGTGGCAGGGAGAGGCCTGGGAACGGGGCTCTCGGACTCCCCAAGTTCAGGGCCATCGGAGGGAGGCCGCCTCCGGTTCTCAAGGCCGGGTGGGGGGTGGAGAGAATTGCCGGTTGCCTTTCTCAGCTCTTCTGGGCCTTTTCCCAGCCTGCCCTTCGCCTCCTGGCTTGCAGACTGATCCTCCCAGCCTATTCTCCTCCTGACATAAATAAATGGCCCCCACAGTTTGCATTTGGTCAGACAATCAGTCCCCAAACTCCATTCAGCTCCAAAGGGGCCCCTTTCTTCCAGACATGAAAGCCACAGAATGGCTTGCAAGGGATCCCGCGACTCTGTCAAACTGTAAATAAGATGCTAATAACAATCATAATAAAACCGGGTGGGAGGAGGGGGGGAAAGGGGGAGGGAGAAAGGGGGAAACAGGAAAGGAACAAAACGGGAGACTTTTGCTGGCTGCCGCAGCAACCAAATGAATCTGTAATGACTGAACTGTGTACAAACTGTGGGAGACAATATAATGGCCAGCCTGTCAGTGGGTCTCTGCGTCCGTCCATCGGGGCTTGGGCTGTATCCCCGCGGACTCCCTTTGCTTGGCCTCCCCTTGGCACATGCCACCCCGTCTCCCTTGGCAAAGCCTGGCGTGCCACCTCAGAATGAGGTACCTGAATGGACGGTTGTCATATTGCTGAGCCTAGAGAGGAGCCATCAGCCCTGCAGGGTCTTCTGAGAGCTCAACACCCTTTTTGGGATAAGCGTCTTTTCAGAAACTCAGCCCTCCTTCCCCCCCAGGGTTTCACTCTAGACTTGATGCGAGAGCTTCTCACACATCCGTCCCTGGGAGGAATTCCCTGGTCCCTCTGGGGCGAGACCTCCACCGCCACCTCCCAAGCTCAGCTGCCTCCCTGTTCTCCCATGAGGCCTTCCCAAGCCTCCTCTTGTGGGGTTGCCCTGAGCCAGTGGCTTCTGCAGTAGTCATGCGTGGCATTCCCCCCTGCCCCGGATGCCACCCAGGCAAGGAAAGCCTGGAGAAACCGTGCCCAGTTCTGTCA